TGGTTTTGGTTTTGGTTTTACATACAAGTATATATAGTGGGATTGTTCATTTGAGGAAGGTGGTAAGTAGAGCGGTCTTCAACAAACAGAAGTTGTTGGTTCAGTTTTCAATCAAAATAATAAAAATATAAATCTCTTCTACCACCTACTCCAAATTAATAATGCATCAAAACAATCTTTTATTCCCATTTTACTTTCAATTGATAGGATTAAGGCTTTGTTTGGATGGAATTTTTTTTTTTTTGAAGAAAGGAAAATAATTATGGAAAATATTTGGAGAAAGATACTTTTGCTTATTTGAAAAAAAAAAAAGAAAAATATTAAAGGAAGTAATATTTTACTTGACCTACATGTTCTGAATCTCTCCAATTTTGAAAGAAAATGATGGAAGCAAATGAACAAACTTTTTTTTTTTAAAAATGCCTCATTGTTTAAATGAAAACAAAATTGTCGATTTTCAATAATAATATTTCCTTTTCACTAAAACTTTGTTCTTTCCAAATAAAGGAAAATAAAATTCTTTTCTCTTCTTCATTATATCTAAATACAAGTGTGGAAAATAATTGACGATCTAATTATTTTTCTTGCTCCATTACTTTTTTTTCTCTCTCTCTCCTTCCCAAACAAAGCCTGAAATTTTTTTTTTTTTTTTTTTCCCTTTTGTCAGAGATAATTCACACATAATGATAGTGACAACAATTGCATAAATAGAAAATGCAAAAATAAAAATAAATGAAACGATGTAGAAACTTTTGAACACAAAAGTCTCTGCTCTATGTCACAAGCTAAAGAAAGCCTCTCTATTTTTTTTTTTTTTTTTTTAATAATGTCACAAGCTAAAGAAAAGTTCTATTTTTTTTTTTTTTTTTTAAGAGGAAAATACAATCCCATCTAATTGGATGTTGGAATCTAATAAGAAGCACTTTTGTGTGAATAAGAAGATTAGAAATTGTAATATACAAAAAATATTTAACTTAATAATCAAGATTCTTCACTTACTATATCAATATAATCAATTATCTAAATCAATCAAGGACACCCAAAATTGCTTGGTTCTAGTAATTGAAGCGCACTAGATCACAGCTTGTAATCACACGGTTCGAACCGTGGCGAATTAATATGTTTAAAGAGACCTTTAGATTTTTTTTTTTTTTTTTTTTAAGAGGAAAATACAATCCATCTAATTGGATGTTGGAATCTATAGAAGCACTTTTGAATTAAGAAGATTAGAAATTGTTAATACTACACAAATATTTAACTTAATAATCAGAGATTCTTCACTTACTTGATATCAATATATATCAATATCTAAATCAATCAGACACCCAAAATTGCTTGGTCTAGTAATTGAAGCGCACTAGATCACAGCTTGTAATCACACGGTCGAACCGTGGAGAGTTAATATTTTAAGGAGACTTTAAGAATAATCACTTCATGATCTGAAAGAAATTAATCTATCATCTAACCGTTAAATGAGAGATAGGACACCATTGATAATAATAATAATAATAATAATAATAAAAAAATCATTGGCGTCTGGTTCTGGACTCTAAATGACCTACTATTTTTTTCATTTTTGTTCTCCACCTAAACCATCCTAATGGAGTCAAACATAAGTAGACCTAACCACCCCAACAGAAACTGGAAGATGATTCGACAGTTTCTCCAATATAGAAAGATCATTAGCAACCTCAACTGGAGTCGCAACCATCAATGCCAAATTTGTACATCTCCATTGACTAAATCTTTCTGCATCTCGACCACACATATAAGATTTATATGCATTATCACAGTAATACCTTTCACCAATTGCAACGGTTGTTCAATTATATATACAAGGCTTGGGCTCAAATGAGCCCAATTTGACTTGGACCGCGCTTGCATCAGACCCTGAACAAATATTTTCAAAACTTTTTTAGGCCAGACCGTACTTAGGCCTATTAAAATATTTTTAATCCAACCAAATCCAATCCGAACCCAAACTTGAACAGGTATATAACCGGAACTGGAAGATACAACAGTCACAATTAAATTTCAAAATTCCTACCGTTCCATGAACACTAATTTTGCTAGAACAAATTCGTGTTAAGAAAAGAAATGAGCAAGAATTTTCTACAGCAAGCACCTAATCATCACAATAGAATTCCACAGTAGATAAGCCAAAAAATGGATTCAGTAACTGTAAATTGCAATTGATCATTAAAAACCATTACAAATAATATGATAGACAGAGGGCAAATAACCAGATATGCACAAAAGAACGTATTTTTAATCATTAGCTGAGACCAACGATAAACATACACTTCTTAACTGAATGAACAAATAAAACTACAAAAACCACCAATTATCCAATTCGCAGTGATAAAAGAGGTAATGCCTATCAAAATCTCAGTGAGATGAGAATTGTATATTAAATTAAGCATTTAACACACAATCATGAAAATTTTGCAGAACCTCTTGGTACTGAAACTTCAGGGAATGCAATTGTTTTAAAGCTTTAATATGATTTCCCTGAACCTTTGGCATTGATTTTGAGCATAGAATATTTTTCATATACTTGACATAAGAGCCTCAGTCTCAAGGTTCATAGGAGAATTAGCTCAAAGAGTTAATTCTAACTACAAGTTCAAGATATTAACTGAATTGAGCTCAAGCATTGGTCCGAAAACATGCCTCAGATGTTACTCTAATTCATTAATATGATTTCCTTACAGCAATTAAAGAACTACATGGTCAAACCTGCAAGCATGGCGGACAGCGATCATATTTCTTCACTATTCAAGAACACAAGAATTTATTGCTAAATAGGAGAGAAAGGTGTGGGTTGAAAACTTAGATATAATAAAACTTTAAAGATTTTGGCATATACATAATACAACTACAATACTACGTTAGAGTCTTCTAATAACTTGATAAAAGAACCTTACAGTTATATATTTTAAGTACTTATCAACAACTTTAAACTTCATAGTGCCTCTAACTAAATTGTGAACTATTCCATGCAATTAAGCTCCATAATTCAGTCTTGAAAATTCCTATAACCAGAGGTGCACACCTCTGCATCTATGCACGGCCATGTGAATTTCTAGCAAGCATCCACTATGTCAGTCCACCTTACTGCATTAGACTAACCTATATGGGATCTGTTAGACAAAATTAGTTGTTTTGGTATCTGTTAACTATTTTAGTAGTTGTTGTTTTAGTAGCGTTTCATGAAACATTAAAAGCTAAATATTATATAAATTAACTTTTCACAGAACCCTACTTTAACCTCTAAAAGCTAGTTCAAACGTTGTGTTACCAAACACTATAAAAAGTAGCATGTAGAATTTTGACCAGTCAAAATGCTAAAAGCTACTTAAAAAGACTGTGTTTCTCTGAACAATGAAACAATGACTCCCACCCCCTTCCCTAAAAAAAAAAAGTTATAAAACCTAACTCCAATTTCTTTTGCCATCACTCCATGGTTTCATTGAAAAACTTCCTAACAAACTGAAGTAGCAGGTACCTACTATCAAGGCTCTCATCCCCTTCGATGCAGAGGAACCAGTCATCTCATCCTGAATAACCCATGCATTGAAGAGATGCAGACTTACAGTTCCAGGAAATCTTACTATCAAAACAAGCCTAAAGGCCAGTAAACTTACACTTAAACAAACATAAACAAGGAAATTGTATAAAGACAGGCATTTACTATCAGAAAAGAAGGCAACTTATGCAAGGCCATATATGGCAAGCTAAAGATAGAAGCTCAATCATGCAAACAAGGCAGCGAGGAAGAAGTAAAATCAACCAGAAATGAAAATGACCTTAACTTGTTAGCAAGCCCGTCCAAGTGTACAAGAGGTTCACCCATGGACAAAAAGCTAAGTCAGTCAAGTCCAGCAGTTAGCTTCTTTTCTGTTTTGTCTGTCCAGCAGTTAGTTTCTATTCTGTTTTTCTGTTTTTCCCATGTTCTGTCATGTGTTTGCTTTCCCTAAGTTAGTGGGTGGTTTACCAATTCCACTAGCAGTTCTAGTTTCTATTCTGTTTTTCTGTTTTTCCCATGTTCTGTCATTGTGTTTGCTTTACCCTAAGTTAGTGGGCTGGTTTACCCAATTCCACTAAGGCAGTAACTTCCTTATTTGTAGAGGCAGTAGTTACTTATATTTCTATATTTAATCTTTCATTCTGTTAATGAAACTTCAGTTTGAAACTTTCTACAGTTTTTGAGACTTAAACTCAAGAGGTTTCAGGGTCCCTCTGTTAATGAAATTCAGTTTGAACTTTCTACAGTTTTTGAGACTTAAACTCAAGAGGTTTTCAGGGTCCCTCTATTGAGCCTGAACGTCTGCAACCATAGGTCGCAGTAAACGCCCTTCGTCATCCCAAGCACCCACCAATCCCTCATACCATCGCCCCATAACTAGATCCTTATCTAGGGACCATAACATAACTCCATACATATCGATCAATGAGCATTCCTAGGTAAACAAATTGTGCACATCAGCACCAGTATGGACTAAAATATCATGCATAGAGCATTTTCCTTCACAGAATATTAACATGCAAAACTCATTACAGTATTTTGTGATCTGTTATTGTACAATTAAGGCAAATTACAAGCACATATGCGCAAAATATAAGTAAAGCATCCCCAAATTTGGCATCCAACATGTCTCAGATTCCTGAGCTTATAAGCTCACTTAGCGAGTTAAAACAAGGAACAGTATTCAGTACACCGACGGGCAACCTTGCAATGGTCTATTGGATAAAAGTTACACATCTAATTTTTTTGCTGCTCCACATCATGAAAATTAAGCAAAATAAATCATTCATACAAGCGCAGACGCTTGACAAAAACCCTACCTAGCATGAACCAAACACAGCATTCTTCCAGTAAGGAGAACAGTTCACCACATAATTTATAAAAATAGTGAATTGAAGCATTTATTCAGTTAGTCAATAACTCCACCTTGCAGAATTACCCGAATGTAAAAAATTAAAAAATTTCAAACCACTAAAGCATAAACAACATCTGTTTCCAGTACTCTTTAAAATTGTTGTTCCTCACACAGTAATTTCACAACTTAATACCAGTGTCAAGAGAAAGAAAAATTCAATCTAAACTCATTACTATGTCAATTTACAGGTATAATCATCTCTATATATACCATTTGACCACAAAAATTACGTCAACGTACATTAGATTCAAGATGACCTGCAACAGCGAAAAAACAAATCCAAACTACAATATCTTTGAACTACAAAATCCAAAAAAATGCAATATCAATTTTACCTTCATACGTTATTCTCACTAAAATATAACAAGCAACGAAAACAGAGTGTAAATCACATTAGATTCAAGATGACCTGCAACAGCGAAAAAACAAATCCAAACTACAATATCTTTGAACTACAAAATCCAAAAAAATGCAATATCAATTTTACCTTCATACGTTATTCTCACTAAAATATAACAAGCAACGAAAACAGAGTGTAAATCAAGAAACAAGCGTACGCAATCAATCCGCGATGTTCTTCTCCTCCATCAGCCACTGCTACCATTAGATTCGTGCAAGCCCTAGTTGCCCAAATCACAAAAACCCCTGAGACCATGAATCTGACTGGCCCGCCCTGTGGCATGAATAGAGAAATTGCCGATAAAATCACCACCGGCAACAAACAGTAGCCAAGAACACTTGTACATGTATGTAGATCCAAATTTCCATTTCTCCCAGCCAACATATTAAACACCACATATAGAAAAATAGACGATACAACAATCCAGCCCAAAATCACACCAAATTGGATTTTTCCGGCGAGTAATTGAAAAAGGCAAAGGGAGAGATAAAGGAAGATCGGGCCAGATAGATCGGAGTCTTTGTGAACGGTAGGGTTGACGCGAAATGGATTCATAATAGATTTTGTCTTTCTCCAGATTTGATCGGGATGGATGCCGAGTTCATCGAGGAGTGGCTCCTCATCGTCAAAATTCGCGGCGCCCGAGGATGTTACAGGACCACCGCCAATAGGACCCGCGCCATATGAGCCAGTAGGAGCTGAACCGATCTCGAAGGACATAAACGGGATCCCGGAGTTTGAAGGTCTGGGAGGCTGAAACGGCGCCGTCGGAACCCGTCGTTGCTGCATGTTGGCGGCACCAGCGACTGTGGGGTTGCCTCCGGAGGGAAATATTACTGGAGGCACTGCAAATTCCTTTGTCATGGCGTTTGACACTAAAGGGTAACAGAAGAAAAGCAGGGTTTTAACGTACGTAGTTCTGAGATTACTTTAGGGTTTTGGATTTGGAGATCGGAGAGTGAGAGGAAGAGATAGAAATGGAGAAAGTGCACGGAGATTCTCAATTGTACGTCTAGAAGAAGAGCAATAAAAGAGTAATTTCGCATGGCAGGGCATAATTGACTTTTGGAGGGGCTCTTCGGCGTGTATCCCTCGTGTCTGCGGCGGGAGATTCGCCGGGTGACGCCTTTGGTGAGTTACGGGCATGATGCAATTACCATATTGCCCGTCTATTGAAATGCGTTCCTTCTTTTTCCTAATTACATAAACAACCATAAATTTAGACATTTTTTAATTCTCACTGAACCTTTTAATTCTAGATATGGTTACAAATTTGAGATCCAATACTGAACCTTTTAATTCTAGATATGGTTACAAATTTGAGATCCAATCCGGTAATCGTGAAGCGAGAGAGTTGAGGGAAGTCCATACGTAATTAAACTAGTTTTTTATAACATGTATCATATATATTTATTATTGCTCGTTTATTTACTTATGGTTCTATTTAAATAGAGAAAATTAACTTTTAAACAAATTAAAAAAATTATTTTAATTACCAACACGTGTTGAAATGAATGGTTCGACACTATTCTCCCTTAAATAAGGTCGAGGATTTGATCATCATGGATAGAGTAAATATTTACCGGGAGCAATTTACGATCCAGTTCAAGCAGAATTTAGTTGTAGTCCAGCCTGGACATATCTTTGGTTCAGACCAAAAAAATGTTTGATTTAGTATTTTAGGCAGTAATTTTTATGCATTTGGAGCCAATTTTTATTTTTGAAAGAATAAAAAGTCTCTTCAAATTTCACAAATTGACTTCATATAAAAGGACAATAGCTCACAACTGAATCGAATTCATCCAGAAATTTATTATGAAACCTCTAAATTAGTTTGATCTTAAACTAGTTCTAGCAAATTTCCTTTTTGGGTATTTTATTTAAATAAAGAATTTTACCTTATTTGGTAACTTTGGAAGGCTAGCCAAAGTAAATAGTCCAAACGACCCTTGTGTTGTTTTTCATTCAAGGTGTAAGTGTGAGAGAATTTTCAAGTAGTAGCAAACACGAAATTGTATACTTGTTTATTACATTTAAAGTACCGAAGACAAATTGTTTGGAACATAAAGTTTGTCACATTATTAAAACGTGCATAACTTTTTAGGATGCAGGATTTAAGTAAGATTAGGTTTTCATATGGCATCATATTTTGCAATTCATGTACACTCCGCCGTACAGATTGCAAGAAAGTTTACCCCGATTGTGCACCACTTATAATTTGTTTCGAAATTTCAAATTCAGTGTGGTGTGTATTTGAATACAATCAAGTCTAACAAGCGCATGTGTATAAGAGCATTAGCTTATTCAGTATTAAAACACGATCAAGTCTACGGATAAGTTTTTGAATATGGACATATCTTCTTCAATTGCATGCGGCTTTGTTGGGACCAAGTTAAGATTAAATTGATTTGGTAGGTTCATATTGGATCTTTGGATGAATTTATTTCAATTTTAAGCTATTGTCTATTTATATGAGGCTAGTTTGTGAAATTTGAAGAGATTCTTTATCCTTTCAAAAATAAAAGTTGGCACCAAGCAGAGACGGATCCAAGATTTTATATTAGGGAGGCAAACTTTCAACTTCTATATTTTATGTTATTTTTTTAACAATAAAACTATCTATCCATAGATTACTAAATGTAATTATAAAAGTTGAAACTATAGAAAAGTAAAAATAATAGAAAACTAATTTATAAATCATTTCAATACAAACCTTGAAAAAAAAAAATCATTTCAACACAAAATGAAGACGTACCTTATATGTTTTAAAGCCTCATACTATAATATTAATTTTTAGCCTTGTGCATACACACTCAGTAAATAACAATAATCGTGCAACTTTGCAAGTCTACAAGGAAACAAATCATAAAATACATAATTTAATATTAGACAAAAAGGACAATTACAAAAACATATAAACAACAACTAATAGATAGACCATTGATATTTATTAGATAGTTCAAAGTTTTCTTGTATTATTGAGAAGTCATAATATCTTTATAATATTGATATTCTCCAGAAAAAACTAACAAAACATAAATTGACGCAAAAAAAGATTACATCCATCATATTATTCATTCTTACTAGAAGAATTTTAGAATATGAATCAAAATAAAAAATATTATTGTCCAATTCTTCTTATGAGCAATCTATCATAATTGTTCTCTGTGAGTCTTCATATTTTGATATCGTTGTAAAATTTTCTCGTTGTCAATACTATTGAAGATATCTTTCTTAATATATTTGATCAAGTAATCATTCATCTAAGAATCTCTCATTCTATTACGTAATCGATTTTTCATTATCTTCATTGTTGAGAATACTCTTTCAACTGAAGCAGTAGCAATTGGCAAAATCAAAGCTAATTTCACAAGTAAAAACACCAAAGGATACACAACATCTTTTTTTATTCAACTAATTTTTTGGCAAGATAACTAATCCCTCTTAGATTTGAAAATTGATCATCGGATCTCATATCAACAATATAATTATCAAGTTGATTACTAAGAGTAACAACTAGCTCCACTTTAGAAAAATCAGAAGGATAAAATTTAGCAAGCCGAATTAATTTTTGCTTATTAAAAGCTTGGAAAGAGTCATCTAGATTCAAGCATGCTATACAAAGAAGCAACTCTGTATTGACCTCGTTAAAGCGATTGTGAAGCTCTTAAAGTTGCATATCAATCACAGTATAGAATAATTCCACTTGATAATGATGTAAATTTTTCATTTGTTGTGCATTACGTCTTGACTTTTCTCGAACCACAAAATTATCACCCATATTGGAAATGGTAATACTATGTTTCTCGCAAAATAAAGAAACTTCATCAATTAAGGATTGCCATCCATCATCTCTCATCATTTGCAATCTTTGTTTAGAAACTCTAATAAAAGAAATTGCATTGATAATGTCTTGATCTCTTCTTTGTAATGCTTGAGATAATTTGTTTATGATACTTAAAATATTTTTCATCAAATGCAAGTTAAACACAAACTCATAGGATTGAATAGAATCAAGCAACGCGTATGCTTCACCTTTTTGCTCTGAATGTATTCCTTCTTTCAAAATGATCTCAAGCACATCAACTACAGATTCAAACATCACAATTATATTTACTAATGACCATAATGCGAGCCCCAACGTGTGTCACCAGGTCTTTAAAGAGAAGTTTCTTGATATAAACCTCGACCACTTGAGATTTCACCATTTTTTAATTCTTCAACAATCTTACTAAATTGCTTCTCATGAAGAGGATCTTTTCCCTTACAAGAAGCTCCAACCATATTCAATAAACTTGAGACTAGGTTAAACAACAGAGCAATTTGCACATGATTCTTTGTCACTACTACAAGTGCTAATTGCAATTGGTGAGCAAAACAATGAACATAGTATGTAGAACTGTTTTCTTTCAACATCAAAGACTTCAAACCATTAATTGCTCCTCGTATATTACTAGCTCCGTCATAGCCTTGCCCACGTAGAGATGATAAACTCAATCCATGTCTTGAAAATAATCCATCTTTTGCAGACTTGAGAGATATAGAGGAAGTATCACTAACATGAATAATACGAATAAATCGCTCAAGCACACATCCTTTTGCATCCACATAGTGTAAAACAATTGCCAATTGTTCTGTGATTGAGATATCACGAGACTCATCAATGAAAATAGAAAATAACCCACCTTGAAGATAATTAATTATTTGGTGGTCTCAATTGCAGCACGTTTAATAATATCTTTTTGTATATCAGGAGCAATGACTTTAAGATTACCACAAGCATTTTCTAAAACAACATTATTAATATCTTGATTATGATCAACTAAAAATTTTAAAAGCTGCAAAAAAAATTACCATCATTATTAGAAGCCTCTAACTCATCATGATCGCGAAAAATTAGTCCTTAATGCAAAAGAAATCAAATGCAATCAACCAATGTAGTAAGTTGAGTACGATAGCCTTTTGAGTTTGATTGGATTGTCTAGGATAAGTAACTTGGATATGCTACTTTTGATTCGTTAAATCTTGAGAATTGCTCCAAGCTTTGTTATGAGCACTATTTGGACCGCCTATATGAATTTGAAATCTTTCTTTCTTTTTCCAGTTTATAAATCCATCAACAACAAAAGTATCAACACTTGCTTAATCTACAATATCTGGCCGATAGAGATAACAAGACAAGCAAAAAGCTGCATGCTTTGAAACATTGTACTTTAACCAATTGCTATATTCTTTAAACCAAGAAGGAACAAATCGATGATAAATATGTCCAATTTTTCTTTGTGGAAAATCATGATCGAAAGGTTGACATGGATCCTTTTGCAAATAGGCTCTTTGTATTTTATCACGATCATTAGGGTAATAATTTGAAATTTTTTTTCCGTAATCCTAAATCAGAAGGAAGATCATCTATGTGGATTTCCAAATGAGGATGCTTTGAACGATTGGGATTCAAGTCCTTATTGTAAGTGATCGTTTGAGAAATTTGTCCATAACTAAATCAAATTTATATACAAATTAATTAGAAATTTAAATAAAATTAACTACAACATTATTATTTACTTAAAATTTAAACAAGGCCATTGTCTCGCATTCAACACAATAAAGTGAAAATTTTAAAAATCTCTTCTTCTAACTGTACACATAACACATCACATTTGATATTACTATACCTTGATTTTTTTTAAGAAATATTAATTAAAAAAATTATTATTATATTAGGTTGAATTCTATTCAATACTTTCACAGTTTCACACAACTAATTCTAATTCTAAAATTTATTCTAATTCTAGAATGTCCATACCGATAGAATTAAGAAATATGTTTATGCACAAGGAATAACAATAAATAAAAGGAAATAAAAATGAATTAATTTAGTAAAAGCACAACGGTCCATAAAAGCAAAAGAGGCAAAAACCATAAACAAATTAATTTACATCACAATTCAAACAATATAAAGGAAAAAGCACAAAAAATAGTTTATAATTATAAATGTGCAAAGTATGAAAATATTTTTAAAAATTAAAAAAAGAACATATAAATAAATTAAATGGCAAAAATAGAGAGAATGAGATCAAAAAGCTAACCTGTTAGTTCTCCTCAATGCAACAATGAAAGAATGAAAGCCAAGCAATCAAATAAGTTTGTGATTGTGTTTAGAAGTTGAAAAGATTAGCATGCAATAGGTTAAGTAAATCTATAGGCAACTAAAAAGATTATATTAAACATGGATCATGGGCTTTTGTTTACTAGTATAGGTTAATAAATAAGGCCCAATTTATATCCAAATAAATATAAATTATATATAAATTACTTTTTTTTCTTTTGGGTCAATGGGGGCAAGTGCCCCCTGGCTCTAAATACATAAAAATTATGTCCAATTTTCATTTGCAACTTTAAATTAGCTTTGGAGCAAAGTTGTTTCTAAATTTTTTATTTTTTACTGTTAAGTCTATTTTTAATCACTTTGAATTTTCTATTTCAATTTTTTTTTTGCTTAATAATTGCCTGAAATACTAAATTAACCATTTAATCCTTAATTAAATGCACCAAATTCTATCTCTTGTATGTTTAGCTTTGCACAGTTGAGAGGGAGTTAATGCTGATTTAGGCAAATAATGAAAGAAATGGGAAAAATTACAGTTAAGCTAACTTCTTAATCTGTGTGAAAAGTTACTTTTCTCTGTCAAAATAAAATAGATGAAGTAATCAATATTTAATACTCCCTCTGTTTTTTTTAAATTGACAAACTTTACTTTGTTTTGTTATTCTTTTTATATAACTAAAATTACTTTATTTGGTAACTTTGAAAAGGATGCCAAATTGAAATATCTTTTTTACCCTTATTATATTTTGTTCTTAATTTGTTTCTTTTAAAAAATTCAAAAGTAGTGGCAAACAGAGATTAAGTTGAACATTAATTGTTAAGAAAAATTATGGAGATTTCTTTTTTAAACCAAATTCCTACTGAATTTTTTTGTTGCTCTTTGTTTGCAAAAGTGAGTTTGGTTTTAAATGGCTTAAGAGTAGTATTGGGCACCGCATACCAATATTTTGGCATAACTTCTTTAAAGATGGATTAAAATAAAATTCTTCTCCAAAGAATAAAGCATAACCTAGGGTTTTCTGTACCCATTTGTATTCACTTCTCTCTTCCAATTGATTCAGTAGAAGCACCCCTACACTTCTCATTTCCTAACCATTATCTCTCCACAGATCTACACTTACTAGTTTATGTAACCATCGATCGTCGTTTGATTGATAGCGGTTCGTCCCTTTAAAATGAGTCATAGGTCGATGAAGCAAAAGTGTACGATCTCTACAAAATCAAAAATGGGTGAAGAGCAAAAATCATCAAATCGGTGTTTGCAAAAATGAAAATAAAGAAAACTAAAAGCCAACAGACTCAAATACTCCAAATCCTAAATCAAAATTAGTGGCAAACAGAGATTAAGTTGAACATTAATTGTTAAGAAAAATTATGGAGATTTCTTTTTTAAACCAAATTCCTATTGAATTTTTTTGTTGCTCTTTGTTTGCAAAAGTGAGTTTGGTTTTAAATGGCTTAAGAGTAGTATTGGGCACCGCGTACCAATATTTTGGCATAACTTCTTCAAAGATGGATTAAAATAAAATTCTCCTCCAAAGGATAAAGCATAACCTAGGGTTTTCTGTACCCGTTTGTATTCACTTCTCTTTTCCAATTGATTCAGTAGAAGCACCCTTACACTTCTCATTTCCTAACCATTATCTCTCCACAGATCTACACTTACTAGTTTATGTAACCATCGATCATCGTTTGATTGATAGCGGTTCGTCCCTTTAAAATGAGTCATAGGTCGATGAAGCAAAAGTGTACGATCTCTACAAAATCAAAAATAGCTGAAGAGCAAAAATCATCAAATCAGTGTTTGCAAAAATGAAAATAAAGAAAACTAAAAGCCAACAGACTCAAATACTCCAAATCCTAAATCAAAGAACTAAGGCTATGGTGATCAAGGAGAGGATGGTGGACTAAATGTAGCCTAAAAATAAAAAAGATAAACCCTCACGAAGAAAACAATTGTCATGAAATAAAAATCGCAACCACTTCCCAAAAATTCACCCCTATAAAAAGTGTAAGCGTATTGCTGAGGAAGTGAAGTCAACTAATATGGATGAAGAAGATTAGTCCCAATCAAAAAGTGGACAAGAACAAAGTGGCCATGATGGATTTGATAAAAGTGATTTCATCTACCAGGAGAAAGAAGATTACTACAACCAGGTAATTATAAATGAAAAAAACACTTTATGAGAAAATGGTTTATTTTGATGATATTAAGAGTGTAGGAAAGCATTTAGCTAAGTTCTTTGATTATGGAATGAAACAATTAATGTAATTAGAAATGTGGTGTATCCTTGATTTTAGTGGGGATTTTTTATGCTAATTTAGAAGCTTGAAAGAGGAAAAAGGATTATATAGAAAAGATTAATTTGGTTTCTATGGTTAAAGGGTTAGAGGTTGAGATAAATGAAACTGTGTTAGAAAAGCAATTTAAGATGAGAAATATTGGTTTTGATTCATTCTGAAAGATTATGCTCTTCCAAAAGGTTTGAACATTGTGGACTTTAAAAAAAGAGATTTACCTGAGGATTATAGTAGTGGGGAATTGATAAGCACTAAGATGAAGGCAATTCCTAAACTTTTGCATTTGATAATTTGCTTTAATATGCTACCTAAACCAGGCAATAAAGAAAATATCACAGATGATGAGACATTGTTACTCTGGCATTTGATTAACCATAGGTAGATCAATTTAGGTTCAATTATTATAAAAAATATTACCCATAATCACAACATCATGAGCGAAGAGAAGCATAAATCCAAGAAAAATTGTAGGAGTTTGCCTTATGCTAAATTAATTTTCAATGTTTAATTGATGTTGAAGTTGATGTGACTAGAGAGAAAGAAGAAAAGTTGAAAGCAGTAAAAAAATAAATGCGAGATATTTAGCTTCATGCAACATTGTCAATACCAAGAAAAGGGGTTGGACATTATTGAAGTATGTCAAAGATGATAATATCCTAGAGTTTGGAAGTAAGAATTCCCATAGGACAGTAAAGGCTCCTATGAATATGCAAAGAAAGGAGTCTAACCAACTTTTATTGTCTAAGTTTTGTGCTTTGGCAGTGGGGAAGTTGGATGAAATGAATTTATCATTCCAAAGTTTGGTTTTAAAGCTGGATCAAAATACTACTCGAATAGAAGAAATGCGCGCAAATTTGAATGAGTTGAGGAGTTCTTTCAAAGGAATTGTGCACTTCACAGAGATATTAGATACACTTGAAATTGAACAAGGGAAAAAATATAGGCACACATATTGAAGACAATGTGAGCGAAAAAGATAATGAAACGGGAAGGAAAAATGATGGAGTTGTGACTGAGAAAAAAATGGGCACACATATTGTTCTCTTCTTTGAACAATGGCTTGATCGAACTTTAATGTTTCTTTATCTCTCATTATTCAATCATTCTGTGCACATGCAGCAAGGTTGAACTCAACTCATGTGCTAAGGCAAGAATTATGGTCCACCGCCTCAGTGGGATTTCTAAAGTTCTAGAAGAAGTTATTTCCACACATTTGTGTTCCCTATTCCATGAGTGTTTCATTACACTTTGACTGCATGTATCATTCTTTGGATTATCTCAAATCCTATACATCGACCTCTTGGATATAGAAAAACTAGCTGTAACTTTTTCATAAGTTCACTCAATTAGCGAACCTTTTTGCATCTCAGTCAATAACAATGTCTTGACTAAATTCTTTAAAGTTTCAGAGATATTTTTTCATTTATTTGTCTTTCTTGCATTTTCATATGAATGATTTTCGGTTATCTCTCTAATAATAGTCTCTTCTATTGGAGAAACACTTAAATTGATTGGAAGTTCATTGCACATGGGCAGAACTTCAGAGTTTGTGCGCTAATCTTGAGAAAAATCAGTGAGGTCTAATTGATTTAGTGGATTCATGCTGGAAAAAAAGTTGTGAATGGCAATTTATAGCTGTGTTCCAGTCCAAATTCATATGCCTACATTTTTATGAAGTTGAGGAGACTCTACAATTCAAATGAAAAAATTTGCTACTAAATTTTGGTTAATTTTTGCGCACAAAGAAGTGTCAATGAAGGGACCAAAATAAAGTTTTGAATTTTTAATTTTCATTTCTAATGTGAGCAATTAATATCCCGTTAATTAAGCAACAAACATAGCTAATCCTTTTAAAATTTAAGGGAGACAACACATTTATTATTATATTAACCCAAGAAATGTGAATAAAAGATATTTGCATTTTAGAGGAGTAGTTAATGTGATTTTAGCGGTAATATAGACAAATAAAGAAAACTGAGTTAGTTTAACAAATTCTTTAATATTGGTGAAAAATCAATTGTGCCTATATAAAAAGAACGGAGGAAGTATTATACTCTCTCTGTTCTATATATGTGGAGAGAAAATAAATTTTCACTAGAATTTAGGAGGTGGATTGATGTGATTTTTTTTCTAATTTACCTAAAAAGGCAATTTGGTGGTTTCTAAATTTCAATAAAAGGATAGTAAAGGATGAGAAAGAAGATGAATTACTTAATTGCGGAAGTTTATTTGCTTACAACTCCACAAAACAAAAACGTGAGCTCCACTATTGCAACTAGCTAATGAAATTTCAATCTCAAATTTGGATTGAAAAACTTGCAGTGAAATTTGGAAGAAACTTTGGAGCCAAAATTTTTTACCTCAAGTTCTTTATTTTGCTTCTCTAAATTTGTGCCAAAAAAAGAAAATTTGAAGCCAAAATTTTCAAAACTTAAACTCATTTGAATAGGGATGAGTTCACAATTCCAAATATTTTACCCACAAATGCCATTAACACAATCTTGCCTTTTTGTTTGAATACAATCCCTCAAGACCCGCCTGCAACTTCAGAAGATATGTCCATACTTAACAATCAGATCTTAAACTTGACCTCCTTGTCATCTGATGAATAGCTGACCTCTATAGAATCTGAAACGAAAACATCCAATTAATGTTCTAGAGAGAATATAAATAGGCACAACAATTTTGAGTTAAGCACTACAACTTGAAGGGAAATTTCCTTTCATCGTGGATTTATTAGATTTGTATGTGGATCTCACCATATCTGCACACTTAATTATTAAGTGTATGTAGAAACTGTGTACATAATTCGGACTATGCTTGCAACTCAAAAATTTAATCTATACACATAACGTGAAAAAGCCTTTATCTTTTATAGCACGATATAGTCTATTGTGGAATATTAATTGTCCAACCACAATAATATCTCTCACCTTCTTAAAATTCTCTCAAGGTCAATGTTAAGCTAAAAACCAAAATAATGGTATATTGGACTTTTTGCTCGACATAGATAATGGCCAAATATTGGGAGATAATGTTGTCAGATATCTCTCTCCATAACCAATTCCATCCTATCTTTGTATATAAAACGCAGAACTTTCCACAAAAGAGGGTTAATGGACATTCTTTTAGAGTTCAATATTATAATATCACTGTCATGTTATTTTGAGAATATATATAATGGAGGGAATATAATTTTAGGAATCAAGCTGGTATAATGATGAGTATTGGCTACATAGTGATTTTTTCTTGCAATTTACTTTAATTAATAAGAGTTGCATCACAATTGCATAGTTTGGACTAGTTAGAAAAATATGTAATCCTATCATATTGAATTAAAAATTTCACAAAATATAATTTATATTGAGAAAGGCTAATAAAATTAGAGCTCAACTGAATTACATAAACTTTCCAATGCTCAACTGAACAAAAATTAGAGCTTACGACTTGATATACATTTGTGAAGGGAAAATGACATTTTTGTGCCAGTATTTTAGTATAATTATTACTTTATTTTTTACATTTTAAAAATTACATTATTTTATCCTTGTAATTTGTCTCCCTTAAAAGAAATTATACTTTGTCAATTATTTGAGATTAGTCGTTAAATACTAGTAAAATTATAGAACTAACCTTATATATATATGAACTAAAAGGAGAAAGATTATATTTTTATTACTATGTTTTGATATAATTAACTAATTTGTCCTTATACTTTAAAAATTATGTTATTTTTTCTATGTCGTTTGAATCAGTTAACGACTTAAATCTCAAATAATGATGGACGGAATGATAATTTCATTTAACAGAAATAAATAACAAGGATATAATAGTACTAATCGTTAACTGTGCTTCGCGCGCGGATATTTAAATATTATTTTAATAATTATTATAAATAAAATCTCTACTTGAATTAAATCAATAATGGTAAATATCAAAATTATTTGTAATAAAAAGAACTATAACATTATTTGCAAATAGCATAAATATTTTTAAGATAAGGCAGATTGCTAGAGAAAACATTCAAATGCCAAATTTGAAGAGATTAACTTTGCTAACCAATATATGATATTCAAACTTATATCTAGTTATTTAATAATTTATATATCTATTACATTTTAATTGATATTAAAATATTGTTTTCAAAAATAAATTATACAATTAAAATATATAGATAAATGAGAGAACAACTTTTAGTTTAAAAAGATAAATAGAATTTCTTTTAAAAGTCATAATTATCTAGTTATTTAATAATTTGTACATATCCATTATTTTTTATTAATATTAAATAGATTTTGAAAATAAATTATCGAATTAATATTATCTATATTTTTTTTAAAAATAAGTCATAATTATCTAGTTATTTAATAATCTGCCTATAAGTGAGGAATTAATTTAATTTTAATAGATATATAAAGTTTTTATTAAAAAAATGAATTCCAAAAGTCTAGTTATGAAAAAAGAAAATAAACCTATAGATATATAAACCTAATAGATAATATATATATTATTATATATATATATATATATATATATAATATATATATATAATATATATATAGGCAAAAAAATTTAAATATAAGCAAAAAAATTTAAAATTATTATTATCTAAATGTAATTATCTTAAAGATAATGGTTAAATAACATAGAAATAATTTAAAATGTTTAAATTCATAATAATTTATCTAATACCTATTAAACTTTAAAAATATATTCAACATCCAATCAAACTACATAAATATAAAATAAAATCTTAAAATTCTTAAAAAACAGAAAAATAGAAAGATGAAAGAAGAGAACATATTGAACATATAGATATTATTAATTTAAATTTAATTTAATTATGTTATACTTTGCTTTATTATTTCTATTTTAATAATTTTTTCATTAATTTGTTACTAAAATTAAGAAATGGATAACAATAGACATAATAAGTATAAATTTTAGGAAACTATAATAATAATTTTTATATTTAATAAAAATATAAGATTGAAATTATAAAAATTAAATATAATAAAGCAACTCGTATCCAAGAACTCATACACTGAACTTGCAAAAATCTGCAGGAACGCGAGTGGATTAGTGCAGACCATTAACAAATCTTGTAAAGCAAGTCAATAAAAGAAAATGATAAAGAGATACTCAAAAAGCATCAGTAATGGTGTGAATTACATGCAAAGCAATGACTGATTGGAAGAACGCGGCAATATTGGTCGGTGTCTTCACCCAAATAGGACCACTAACGCTGCTGAGCAGATATGGTGTTGTCGAATTTCCATAAGCCCACTAACCAATCCAAGTAACAGCAAACAATAACAAATTTCCAAATGTGAATTGAAAGTACAGTGCTTTCATAATGTTATTTACAGTGGGTTGCTTTATTATTGCCTGTATCTCTGGAAGCATTCCTGTGTTGTATGTAAAAATCAGAGAGGACTATTGATCCACCAAGCCAAATTCGGAAGGCCGACAAATGATAAGTTGCAATGGCAAATACAGCACATATAATCCCAGCAATGCTCATACCAAAACTAACTGATTAACTATATTTATATACAAAAATTAATTAATCAAGAAGAGAAGAATAGAGTTTTTTTTGCAACATTGTTATTGCCTTCCGAAACTGATCCAGCCGTAGAGCTTTAGGATTTGCAGCTTTGATGCGCTGTATCTTCTCCCTGAAACCAGCAAATAAGAATATGCATAGTTATAAAAAGAAAATGAGAAATAAAATAAAGAAAATTTATTTATTATAATGATATTCTCTTCTTACCTCATAAATCGATTATAAGCAGATGGAAGTCTTGTTTCTTTTCTTGAATAAATAAATAAACTAGTGCATTACGTTTAAAGAAGTAGAGTTATATTAGGTTTAAAGTTTTAGTTGGATTAGGTTAGATGATTAGATTAGATTATTTAAAAAATTATCAATTATTAATACTATATATTAAATATTAAAATGAAAAAATTGGCCAATCAAAATATAGAAAAGTAAAGAAAAAATTTAAAATTTTCTAAAAAAAAATAAAAATAGAACGTTGGACAAACAGAATGCCTTGAAACTTTTTCTTTGTTTTAATTTTCATATATATAATTTTTAAAATGTAAAATGAAGTGCTTAATTATTCCAAAATATCATTTTTTTTTCTGGCCAAATGTATATTTTAGACCCTGTACTTTTCCAAAAAAAACCCTGTGGCCTCTAATACTTTATGGGGATCCTGTAAGGTACCTGTAATTTTTTTTTTCGTATTTAATAGACACCTCGCCTGGGCAAACGAAGCGCGTCAAGTCACATTATTTTACTTGTCAAAAATGTAATGTCGTGTCAGAGAAAGAGCTACACATCATACGCCACATCATATAATATGGTTTCTTTAACTCCAATGTAGACTTTTCAATTTTTAGTTTTTTGTTTTTATTTGCAAACAACCAAAGCATTAGCCAAGAAAGAAAAAGCTTGGAGAAAATAAATCCCTAAACAAAAATGTGTGTGTTTTGTATTTGGGTGATTTGCTAGAAAGCATTTGGGTTAAATGTTCCATTTTTTTAGCATTGTAATTCACGATGGCGGAGAAAAAGATAAATATTTTATGGATTCACAAGAGCATTTTGAAAATATACCCCAAAAGGTATACATTGGTGGAAGGAGAACCGTAGAACCATCTATTGACCCTGACGTATGCTCTATCATTAAGTGTTGTGCTAAAGCACTTGAGCTAGGGTCTATTAATGTGACAGGATTCTTCCACAGATGGCTGGTGGCAAATGAGATTGAGATTTTTACTACCCAAGACACTAATAGAAACCTAACATTAGAGATTTATTTTGAGCATGGAGTTGATGTTGCTGAAGTTATGGAGGAAGGTGCAGGTTTAATAGAGGGTATTAATGAGGGGAGTGAAAATGAGGGAGTGGGTGAAAGGAGTAAAAATGAGACATGGATAACATGGAAAATGCTTTTAATGAAAGTGTCAACCTGTCAGGGGGTAATGTGCAAGGGTGATAGCAAAGTAATGTCAGATCCTGAGTTGTAGTGACAGGAGACATTAGTCTCAAGCCACTAGGTCTCAAATGGAAAGGAAAAAATGCAACAAGACAATTAACTCAACAGAGGGCAACCACATAGTTCATGATGCAACAATCAAGAGAGGCAACCATGTTTGCTGGGTATACAAGTCAGAGTAGTCAAGCATCACAGACCAGCAACATTTCCACACAAGGCAATGGAAATGCATGAAAAATCAATCTGCTGTATACAAGTCAGAGTAGTCAAGCATCACAGACCAGCAACATTTCCACACAAGGCAATGGAAATGCATGAAAAATCAATCTGCTTGTAATGAGATACTAGTGAATTTAGGATATTGTGAATGTTTTTGGCAATGATAGGACAAATGCAAACAATTAGCTTTTTGTTGTGTTATATTTTGTGGATCTTGACAATGTATTTAGTTAGCCTGAGATTTACTTGTTTTCTTAGCATATTAGAACAAACTATGTCATCAACATTTCAGATCCAAATAAATCTCAGTGTGTTATTTTTGAACTATGTCTCAGTTTCTTATTATCACTGCCTAAGTCTAATTCAATTATGCAAATGTTGATATATTGGGAATGAAATAACAGGAAACGTGGACCAAATTTTCATTCCAAAATTACCAAGTTACAAAAGAAGAAGGTTTTTGAACACACCTCCAGCAATTACATTACACTTTCCAATCAACCACATTACAATTGCAACAATCTAAATACACCTAAACCATTGCCCTATTTTCCTAAATACAAATCCCCTAAACAATGACCCTAAATACAACCATACAACCAATACAAACACATAAAACAAAAATAGCCAACATAAGCTTCTTCAATTTTTCCTTAAATTTTTACTGTTTTCCTCATAATCCTTAATCCTCTTCAACAATTTAAGAATTACATGTTGCACATGCTCTGACATTGGGGGATCCAAACATTGAAAGATAATCCTCTTCAACAATTTAAGAATTACATGTTGCACATGCTCTGACATTGGGGGATCCAAACATTGAAAGAAATTGCAAGCTCCCCTTTTCTGAAATTTCCCATTAAATGAAAAAACAAAAACCCATCAACAACCTCGTTCAAATAATCAGTTGTAAATCATCAAGAAATTACAAAATTAACTCAACAATTAGAATATACCCACCCCATACTATCTACAACCGAAAAACCTCCTCCCTTGGTTGGCTTAGTGAAAGAGACCTTCAGCACCGTTGTTAGACCACGGTAGCAACTTGGGATAATGAAATCAAGCAGAGTATCCATTTCGATTTCCTTTGAATTGTATAAATCACCCAGTTATGATGATAAAAAATGTATGAACCCTAAATTGGAGAGCTGAGAGTAACGTTTTAGTTAAAAGAGTGACAATGGATGAGAGGTTAGCTTAATTTCTCTTTCCATGGCAAGGTGGTCAAGGCTTCACTCTCTTCACATTCACGTGGATACTCACGTATATGGCAAGGTAATCTATTAAATATGAAAAAAAAATTACAAATACCTTATAGGACCCCTGCAAAGTATAAGATGCCACATAAATTTTTTGGTAAATTACAGGGTTCAAAATATGCATTTGGCCTATTTTTCCCTTTGTGAAGCATGCACAGTACATTCCATAGGAATAGTGGTTCAAAAATCTAGCAACAACTGTTCCCTTGTGTGTTGAGGTTGAAAACAAAAAAAAGAAAAAAAATACTGAAAAACCCTCTCGGATATAAGATTACGAAAAGACCTCCACAAGTCAACACGAAGCAACCATAGTCAAGAAAAGAATAAAAGAAGCAACACCGACGGAAACGGTTCAGCCACCGGGAGACTCGATCTCTCCCGTTCTCTGTCTATTTCTAGGGTTCAAAAAGCTGAAAATGGAACAAGAAACGGGCTTGTCAAAATCGGTGGCAGTCGTAGCCTGTGCGTCCATGACTTTCTTTTATGTGGCAATTCTCCATGCTCCCACTTTGATCTTACGGCTTCCTCCTCCTTCCTCTCTCAAGCAATTTTTAATCCGACGGTTCATCTGCGCTGCCATTTGTTCAATAGTGTCCGTTATTTTCTGTGCTCTTATCCTTCCTGTAAGCTTCTCTTACCCTGCTTCAATTTCCTATCTTCACACTTCCATCTTTCTTCCTAATTAAAAGTTGTGAAATATGAATCCTATTGAAGTTATTATGTATTTATAGTTAATATAAAAATTCTAGAGAAATACTGATCTTATAACCTTGATTGACTATGCTTAATGGAGCCAGATAAGAAGATTGGAAGCTTCTCTTTTGTTTGGCATTTATGGCATCCGGTTGGACCATATTGTGAGTATCATGATAATAACATACAGCGTCTTTTTTTTTTTTTTTTACATACAGCGTCCTTTTTTTTTTTGTTTTTTTTTGGAATCAAGATGTGTTTGTGTTATGACTATTACTCTAGTATGAAGAATTTTTCTTTTTTTTTTTTTTTTTTTTTTTTTTTTTTTTTTTTTTTTTTTTTTTTTTTTTTTTTTTTTTTTTGGCATATGGTAATTATTGCTTTTATATTCTTGTATCGTCTGCAGATATTGGAAAAGGGTGACTGATTGCTAAATTTGCATGTTGAAATGCAATTTTATGTATGAAACAGTGGCAAGCTGTGGCCTTTCCTCTTTCCTTGACTTCATTAATGTACGCTGGATCTTTTTTGGACAAATTGTTGATGCTGGTGGATTCATGGAAGGAAGATATGAATGAGGGTGGTGGAGGCTTTTCATTTGATAGTATCAAACATCTCCTGCAAAATTTCGTTGTTTGGATGTCTTCAACGGCTTCCAATGTTATGGCTTGGCGTAATTTTGTGGTGGTCAGTTTCTTTACTATTCTAGACTTATTTTTTACTTCAAGATTGTGTGGACGTGCACATGAGAAAAATTTGCACATAGTGAGAGACTGGCTTGAATATATTGTGTTAATTTTTCACAAATATTGCATGAAAAGGTGGTTGGAAATTGGAACTCCATTTCATGCACTAAAATATTGAGGAATTGATTGCGTGCAATCTATTTCTAAAGTGTTCCAAGTTCTGAAATAAGTCTTCATTCCTAAAAATGCCTGTTTTCTGTATTGATATTTAATCCCATTGTACAAGTCATTGTAATTAAAAATGATAAGGAATTACTTTTCATGGGCTATTTACTAAAATTGGTTATATGTGTTTTTGCATCATCATTTAATGTTTTTTGTTCATTTTTTAGTTAATGGTTTAAAATGGAAAGTATAAAGTTCTCCTTTAAATCAATCCTCGACTCTTGCTGTTCAGGCTCCATTAACAGAGGAATTGGTGTTTAGAGCATGTATGATATCTTTACTTCTATGTGGAGGATTCAAGATCTACAGTGTCATTTTTCTCTGTCCTATTCTTTTTAGCTTGGGTAAGTTGATTGCATGTATGATATCTTTACTTCTATGTGGAGGATTCAAGATCTACAGTGTCATTTTTCTCTGTCCTATTCTTTTTAGCTTGGGTAAGTTGATTGATATGGGCTTATGAATGTGTATTTGCTGTATATGTTCTTTCTCATCTATGTTTACATTTCTGCCTGAAAACTTGCTGGAAAATAATTTTGGTTTATTTGTTAAGAGCACAGTTCTCAATCTTACATTCACTTCCGGTCTTAAAACTTTTGGTTTCTTCTTATGATGCATGGATTGAGCATTTTATTGGTAGTTATATGCCCCAGTAGATGCTAAGGTGAATTTTATGCCAGGAAATATTACTTACTGTTATCATTATTTGCAGCACATTTAAACCATTGGATGGAGATCTATGTTAGGCATAACTACAGCATGCTTAAGGCCTCCATGGTTGTAGGTAAATTCTGCTTATTATGCTTTGACTTTTAAAAACTTGCTCTGAGAAATTGGCATTATTTTATTCTACAAGTATGTCTTGCTTGTCTTTCCAAATTATTGACTCAATTTTTTGGGAGAACATTATAGATTAAAGATCTTTCTAGTTGTCATGTCAATTCATGAACAAGTGGATTTTTTACGCATGGTGTCAGGTCTTCAACTTGGCTACACAGTAATCTTTGGTTCATATGCTTCTTTTCTTTTCATCCGAACAGGTAAGCCATTGCTTCTTAGTAGTTGATACATCTATTTTACTATGTCTGTAACTATGGTTCCTCTTTTGGTGTCAAATAGATGCTTGCTGGATAGACATGCTTATAATGCTATATTTGGTCTGGGTAAATAAAAAACACACTGAAGCTTGCATCCACAATGTCGTTTGGTTAGTCTGTAACGTGTAATGGATTAAATTCTCTTGCAAAGTCTTGCATTCTTTTTGTTGCCAGCACCGACATAGTATTCCTAGTTACTCCACAAGATTTTAGAATTATATATGCTCAATGACAGAATATTTCAGGCTAAGAGTTCTGATAAGACTTTACATACAATAGAAAATGCAAGATAGCAATTAGGACTGTAGTCATGGCTTCAGTAATCCTGGGTTTCTTATTTTGAATACCTTTAATAGAATAGTTCTTATATTCTCCTTTGTTATGGGGTTGCTTATTCTGTCTTTGTGATTCAATAGATTGAAATGTATCATTGCAGGACATCTTCTAGCTCCATTAAGTGCTCATATATTTTGCAATTTTATGGGATTGCCTGTGCTGTTTGGAAGGAAGAAAGGTATGTCATAAAGTTGCAAATAAAAATTAATGCTTCCTTAGATATTGATGACAGATATTCAGAAGGCAATATTGCCAGAGTGGCAATTGACATGGCAAGAGCGAGATTTTTCGGAACTTCTTTCCTAATTCAGTTGTTCTACTTTTCTTTGTTCCTTTTCATTTAATTTCAAAAAAATGTCGACTCTCTTAAAAATCTGATGAAAAAGGTATCCAAAATAACAAAAAAGTAACTCCAGAACAGAAACCTAAGATAACTTTACTTCACGTTGTGTTAAATTGACTTCAGCACATTCAGGTTGTGAGTTTCCTGGTTTTTTTTATAACTCTACTTAAGTTTGGAGAGAACCAAATAGAAGATCTAAAAATGAAGAAAGCAATTAGAATTTGATCAAATCCAAACCCTCGTTTCTGCAGAGTAGGATCGTGTTAGATTTTAAGTAATGAACTAGCTATATATTGGAAGGTAGGTAGTCTTCATCAAAACAATATTTTTGGGGCTTAACCATCAAATATATCCCAAACTTTGCGGGTTGTAACAATTACACCCTAAAACGAACTTAATCCCTTAGGCACGCCAATTGCATAGTTATGTGAAAATTGAACCTCAATTTTAATGTCAAATTTTGACCAGATTAAAATTGGGGTTCAATTTTTTTAAAAAATATGCAATTGGGGTGCCTCAGGGGTTAGGTTCGTTTTAGGGTGTTATCGTTACGACCTGCAAAGTTTAGGGTATATTTGTTAGCCATATTTTTTGCCTAAATTTGGAAAAGACAAAATAAAAAAGCAAAAATCAATTTTTATCTGGTGATAGGAATTTTCAGTTGTGTAGATTGACCAAAGAATCTGGTGATACTGATGTGAACTTTGAGGTTTTGAGGTCCTGAGCAGCTAATGTCAATTTGAAAAAAACCTGAATTAGTGGTTTAGAGAAAACTGTGCTTTGTTTCCTTGAATTCCTACTATGATAATATTGGACCTTGTTTCAAACTTTGGATTCGAGGCAGATTTAGTTAAAATGGCCTTGTATGAATCCATCAAATATCAAAACCACCTTTTGCTTTTTTTCTGCAATGGTGCATGGTTGCATATTTGTTGTTTACATTTCCATTTCTTGCCTAAACCCTGTGATATTGTTTTATGATCTGTTTGTTCTTGAGCTAAATAGATTTGATTATTTCTCCTAGTTAAATTCTTTGAACTTCATCCATCACCTATTTATTGTATAGAATTTGACCTGCATATTGTCACTATTTCAGGGATGGTGACTCTGGCATTTGTAGCTGGAGTAGTAACTTTCAGTTGGCTTCTTTTTCCAGTTACGAGTCCTGATTTGTACAATGACCAAACAAATAATTGTAGATGTTGGCATGGGTATTGTTCCTGGAATTAAACCTGTGACATCTTGAAGGTGAAGAGACACTACTAATTTCATGTGCTATATTTTTTGCGCTGCCATGATGTTTATTATGCTTATTCCATAGTTTTTAAGTTTGAGACTTTCGATATTTGCGAGATTGAAACTGTCCCAATTGGATTATCGCAGACAAAAACATGACTTCTATCAGTGACAGACTTTGAACATGTAGTATCAGATTGTGTCATTTTGCAGATGATGTTCTATGGAAAAGGCAAAGAACCTGCTGTTGTAAGCCTGTATCGTAGTAGTGTATTTGCTTAGACTGATTTTCTTTCCTTTTTTTTTTAATTTATTTTTTTTCTCCTGATGAGCCACGTGGACTGTGTCTAACTGATTGTTGGAAGTAACCTTAACCAATATCTGAATATGCTGTACTCAAGCACGCTGAATCATTCTACTCCATTCTATAGCATGCCTTCACCAGCATCGTTCACTGTGGCACGAGTTGGATTTCAGTAAACGCGAGGTGATAAGAAACTTTTTAGCCACTTTTTAACGTTCATACGGATTCATCTTGGTTCGGGTTCTACCTGCTTTAATTTTCTTAAAACAAATTTATGTATATTTTTTTTGTTTTTAAATGTATATTTATACAATAAATTAAGACTCCGTTTGTTTGTATAAAATAATTTACAGAAAAGTATTTTTCATAATTTTTCAATATTTGGAACATTAAAAGAAAATAAGTCAAGGGAATTAAGGTGTTGATCAATGGAAAATAAGTTAGCAATTAAGGAAAATAACTTATCTAGAAAAACATTTTCCTAACTTTATTCATAATCCAAAATTAGTCTTTTTGATCCACCAAGGAACATTTCATCTGTTGAAGAGTGCAATTGTGGGCTCGCTCTCTTTTGGAAGCATAAAAAATGTGTCAATTGGCTTTTTTTTTTTTTTTTTTTTTTTTAGAGTGGGCAATTGTGGGCTCGCTCCTTTTTGGAAGCATAAAAATGTGTCAATTTTTTTTTTTTTTTTTTTTTTTTTAAGAAATGTTTAAAATATATTTTACATGATATTTTACTTTTAAATAATCATTAAATTATTTTAACAATGTATTTAAATCATACCATTTAAAATATATAATTTAGCAATATATTTTAAAGTAATTGTAGTATTTATATATTATTAAATTATCTTTAATGTAGATTGCTTATTAATTATGAATAATGTAATAGGTGTAAACACATTATTTATATAATGAAAAATTAAAATTTTTAATGCTATATCAAATGTTATTTTCCAAGAATGTTTTATGTAAAACCAAACATGGAGTAGCTCTACTTTTTGAATAACATTCACCAAAGCAACGATAAACTTTATGGTGGAAAAGACTCGAACTCAAAACTTTCTACTCCCTACATTTTCTATAAAAGGTAGGAACACTATTTAAACCACATCTGATTGGCTTAACTGAATAATTTTTTAATCTTATACCTAATTATACTTATACCTATATATATATATAAATATATTATTATATATATATAATATATATATATATATATAAAATCCTGAAAATAAAAAAAAAATCTTCAAGACTGAAATAAAAAAAAAATCTTCAAACAACTTATTTGGCATCCCTTCTTTAAGTATTTCTATTTTTCTCTTTTTTTTATATAAATTTTCTCATTTCTAATTAATTTTTAAACATTTCTAAAATATACGATATCTAAAATTTTAAATATTTAATACTTTAAAATTTTTTGAATTTCGCAATTAAAACTTTTAAAATTTTTGAATTCCTTTTTCTTATTTGTATCTATCTACATGTACCTATATCTATCTATATATACTTCGGTTAATGATTTTTTTTCAAAGTGGTTTTCTCTTTTTTCTTTTATTGCTTTTCAATTCTCTGAATTTTGATTATTACTTTATTTATTTATTTCTTTATATATATGTTTGTTCAATTCAGATATGTTATTGCATTCTTCTTCGATTCGATTGAGATAATGTTAACTTTTTGATTTCATTTTTTATTTTTTTCTTTTTAAGATTTTTTAACTTTTTGTGTAATTTTTTATGGTATCCTTTTTTTTCTTTTTTTGCATCACATAACATTTCTCGTCTTTAATCTTATTTCTTTAATAATATTTTATTTGTTATGTAACAATTGTATGTGCAAGTGTAGGTATGAAAACTATCATGTTGATGAAGATGGAGGCGAAGAAAAAGTTAACTGCAAATCCATTTATGTATTTTTTAAATATTTATTATATTTTTAGCAAATTGTGGAAAATTGTAAATTTTAAATTTTTTTTATTCATTGCTTCATATTCATACATATATATATATGTAAATTTTTAATTATTTATAATTATTTTGATTCATGTGTTATATTATATTAATTTTTTTGTTCTCCATTATTGAGTTAGTATATTGCATATAATTCAAGTATTTCATATTAAAATTGGAGATGGGAATATAAGTATAATCTATACTTATTATTTATTTATTTATTTATTATTATTATTACTATTATATTATTATTTTACCATTTAAATCAAATAGTAAATATCATTATTATTGAAGTTTTATATATAGAGCAAAATGAACATTTACATTATTTAAAAGGGAAAAAGGAAAGAAAAATTAAATTCAATAAACATATTTAAAATAACAAAGAGATCTTATAAATTAAAAAATAAATATATTTAATAAATTAAACAAAGAATTGAGAATATATTATTATTATTTATAATTAAAATAAGATTTTTATCTAAATTTTAATTATCTAAATATGAAAAAATTATATCTAATAATTATATTTTATTAATTATCTAAATATGAAAAAATTAATTTCTAATAATTATAATTTTAAAAATTAATATTCTTTACAATATACTATATTTATATTTCAATTTTGAATTGTAATTTTTTTTTAATTATAATCACTTAAGAGTATTTTTTTAAGCAGTTTAAAAATTATTATTTATTTAAAATAATTAACAGTTTTTATATTTATATTTAAATATTTGAATAATTTCTTTTTGTTTTATGTTTGGATTTTTTTTTGTGTTCTTTAATCTTATATTGATTTATTATGTTTTTTTTTTTTTTTTTTTTTTGAAGATGATCTATTTTTACATCTATATATCTTTCAAATTTAGAATTTTGCAAAAAATTTTAACTAATATTTATGTCTTTTATATTGTATGTATTTACCCTATTTTAGTTTTTAATATACTTTTTATAATTTTTTTTTTCATTTCCCTAAAGTTGTAGGATTCTTTTATAAATATTTATTTTTATATATTCAATAAAAAATAACCTCTAATATTATATACAATAACAAAGTAACAATCAATCCATGCAATTGTTGGGTTTTTAGGGAAGAAAAAATGAAAGTGCATAAGATGATTAACAATGTTTAGCATTTCACTGAATTAACCATAATGCAGATTTTCTGCATAAAATTTGATATTTTTGTTCTCAGGATTAATTCACTTGTAAGCCTATAAATATTTTTAGGAGTATTTTTAGGTCGGTCTTAATTCACTTGTAAGCCTATAAATATGCATAGCTTTTTGTTAATTCAATGAAGTGCTAAACATTGTTAATCATCTTGTGCATTTCCATTTTTCCTTCCCTAAAAATCTAACAATTTTGGTATTAGAGAGGTGCTTCAAATGCTAGATTAAAAATTTTAATTGTTAATTATTGTAATAAAAAATTTGTAATAAAAAATATTATGTTTGAATTAAGAGGGAATGTTAGGATTAATTCAAAATAATATTATTAAAAATATTTTGAGATTTTAATTTTAGTTAGTGTGGATTTTCTGCATAGAGTTTGATGTTGTTTTTATTATGATTAATGATTTTTAGAAGTATTTTTAGGTCTTACTTGATTCACTTGTAAGCCTATAAATAGATATATCCTTTTGTTAATTCAATGAAGTGCTAAATATTGTTAATCATCTTCTGCATTTTCATTTCTCCTTCCCTAAAAATCCAACTTTTTTGCTACCAGAGCCTATCCCTTTGGGCCAAAAAAAAAAAAAAAATACAAAAAAAAAAAAAAAATACAATGGCCACAAACACTATTCCATTTTCTTCCCCACCAATTTTTGTTGGTAAAAATTATCAGCTATGGGTTGTTAAAATGAAAGTTTATTTACAAGCTTATGACTTATGGGAGCACGTTGACAAAGAAAAAGAAATCCCTCCATTGCCATCCAACCCAACTATGGTTCAAATTAAGAACATAATGAAGAAAAAGCCACAAAATTTAAAGCAAAACCTGCCTTCACTCTTCTGTTTCGGACATAATTTTCACAAGTATTATGACATGTGAAACAACAAAGGAGATATGAGACTCATCAAAAAATGAGCATCAAGGCAACGAGGAAACGAAATTGATGCAAGTTTTGAATCTCAAAATCCTCAAAAGAGAATTTGAGATGCCAAAAAATGAAAATATCTGAATGTGTCAAGAATATGTTAACAACATCTCATGTTCCATTATTCGAGACTAAAATAGATTACTGTGTAGGAATTTTCTTGTAAGAAGGGTGGGTTGAATATAAAAAAATTCTCTTTTTTTTGAGTATTGGAGAGGATGTGCTTCAAGGTAGAAAATTGGAGAGATGGTGCTCTCAAAAAAGAAAAAAAGTGAATAAATAGGTGCCATCAATATTTGAAAGAGAAGTACGTCAAAAAAAAAAAAAAAAAAAAAAAAACAATTAAAATTCATTTGCTAGTTTGATGAGAAGTGCATCAATATTTGGTGAGAAGTGCATCAAAATGATGAGTTGGAGAGAGGTGCTTCGAATGCTAGATTAAAAATTTTAATTGTTAATTATTGTAATAAAAAAAATATTATATTTGAATTAAGAGGGAATGTTAGGATTAATTCAAAATAATATTATTAAAAATATTTTAAGATTTCAATTTTAGTTAGTGCAGATTTTGTGCATAAATTTGATGATTTTGTTATTAGGAGTATTTTTAGGTCTTACTTGATTCACTTGTAAGCCTATAAATAGTCATATCCTTTTATTAATTCAATGAAATGCTAAACATTGTTAATCATCTTGTACAACGCGTTGGCTTCCTCCTAGTTAGATATATACAATTGGCAGGTCGATGTTTGTAACATCCCTTCTCGGTCCATCCGTAAACCCGAATGAACCGAACCGAGACGCTACAAACTGGTTGACTGTATGGCCTGACATGCTGAAATCATAATGTATATTTACAAAAATAATGTAATTTATATTCTATTTACAAAAATGGTACTCGATTTTCTTGCAAAAAGTGGAATGGGCCAAACGTGTGTGCCCTTGTACATGCCATATAAAAGGGAGAGAACATTTATAGCAAAGAAATATCAAATAATCTTATAATTAATAACATACATAATTTAGTTCTAATTATACCATAAATCCTTTACATACACATTTAATCACACATATCATTATACTTTCATGATCTTACCTAATATTCCTTATGCTGTATGAATTAAATAAATAAATATGTATGCACACATAACATTATATTTTCATGATCTTACCTGATGTTTCTTATGCTGTATGAATTCAAGAAATAAACATGTAAGCACACATATCATTATACTTTCATTATCTTACTTGCTGTTCA